AAAAAAAAAAAAAAAACAACTGACAACGATATTCAACAAAACTACGCTTCTAGAACCTTTGAGAGCTAATCTTTTATACGTATTAGTTCTTAAATAGATGTTAGCATATAGTCGTTAAAAAAACGCATCATATTAATAAAAAGTCTTATAAGTAATTGATGTAGCTTTCATCGGTAACCGTAGAAATCAAAAGTAAACTGTAAAATTCTCATAAAAATCAAAAAACGATAAAGTTTTTAAAACTAATTTTTGTGCTTGCAAATATATGACATAACATTGTAGAAAACAGAAAGTCCAATTAATTGACCAAAAGAAAAAGATACGTTGTCGAATAAAAAATGATAAGACTGAAGACGGACAAGATGGAGGACGACAGATAATATGCAGATGACAGATATTATTTTGCTGTTTTTTCATTTTTATATACTGAAACTTCCGATAGAATGTGTTAGTTCAAGTAGGAGGTATATTCACAAGGTTGCGACCACCTAAATTTTTCATCTTGGTGATGATTACTTCAGTTGAAATCTTGTTTTATAAAAAAAAAAGTTACTAATTGACCGACGTTTAGTAGGGCTTTTAGTTTGGGGCTAACTGGGTTAAGAAAGCACTATGGTTTGCAAGATGAAAAAAACCATTAAGATCTAACTAAACTTAGTTGAAACAAAAAAAAATTGAGGTGGATTATATTATAACAGTAATGAGCCCAATCATCTTCTCATGTGTTTGTTCGATGGCTGAAAGGCATGGAAGAGTGGATGGTGATGAAGACGACAGTGTTGACCTGCTGAAATAGTTCTTACAAATGGACTTTGTACCCAATTTTTTTTTTTTTGTTGTTGTTGTTGTATTTTCTACCAACAATTTCAGTCTCTATTGTCTGTAAACAGCAAATAAGGAGGTGAAGGACGCTGAAAACATTACATCTGTTTGAGTTAATGTTATTCGAGTACCCAAATTGATCAGAAACTTCCAAGTCTCTTTCGTAGACTTCTTTTTTTACATCTTTCTTCTTTCCAATAGTCTTACCTCGTTAATAAAGTTTTGAACAATAAGCTAAAAGCTGTAGAAAATTAATACAAGTACAAAGCTTTCAGTGCGTCATCACATAACTGGTCAATAAAATTTCTAGGTTCTTTTATGTACACGTCACTTTTATCGAAAGAATAATCATAATTTCTTTATAATTTTTGCTGCTTTTGCAAACCTAATATATTTCTCAACCCTTGTCAACAAGATTTGCAGATGAAAAAATTAATGATTTTTCTGATCTGACTGAACCGTCAACCTAATTTACTCGTTTCACCACTCTTTAAACAGTGTGATTTATCCATATTTGAGAGAAAAAATTGATTGTATGTTTAAAAAAAAATAAATCAAAAAAGTTGTCTACGTTTGTACCGTTCCTCTTTCTTTTATAAAAATGATACTAATAACACTTGTTAATAATAACGGTGTTTTACTTTTCGGTTGTACAAGGCACAATAAGGGCAGTTGGTTAAATTCCTTTATATATTTGCCAGAATTAATGACTTCTTGACATTAATCTTGAACCCAATTCAAAAGCAATTACATTTTTAAACCATTTAATCGTTACAACCTATTGAGAACAATACAAATAATCATATTTTTGTGTGCAGTAACAGGCGAATTTTTAATCTGGTTTGAAGCTAATTTAAAAAAATCATCTAATTTACTTGTAGTCAGAATTCTGCACACTAGTTATTTGGCGCAGGCTTTTGCTGAACTGAAGTAATTTTTAAGTAATTTTTACATCTGAAGAGTAATCAATAACACTTCAGAAAGCCACCATTTTTAGCAGATTGAACGCCTTAAATAAATGATTTTGCCTCAGAAAAATAGAGAAAATCTGAGAAAATATTTAAAAAGCAGCAAAAACCAAGCAGAATGTCACACATTTACTTCACTCCAGGAAAAAAGCAGTGAAAAATTTGATATCGCTATACCGGTATCAAAAAGACCATATAGTTTTCAAAACTGATATTCGATAACCAGATTACGCTTAATTATCGCAGATTTATCACTTCATTAAGCTTAGCACGTCATGCGGCATATTAGAACAAGTCAAAAATTCTGTGCAAAAGATTACTTTATTTATCGACCGGTGTTCTCGGTGTTAAAAAAAATAAGCAGCTTTTGATAGTGCTACATAGTCTCTCAGACTAAAATCCATAGCAACTGTTACTGGTTACCAATTTTTGATAATAAGAAAAGTAATTTGTATAAAAATGTGGAAGTCCAAATATCTATTTTCAGTTATCCTCATTACTTCACTTCCCAATAGGTTTCATTAAAAAATTGAAAAGCGTAAGTTTTGTTTTTAGAAATGCTTCTTTGTCGTTTTTATTCTATTTACACAGTAGTTTATTAAGGTACCAAGACAAATGTCATGTTAAAATATTTTTTTCCTCATAAAATGTTAACCATTCTCAAGCGACTGACTTTATCTTTTCAATTTGAGATCAAAGTTCAGACAAACCTTAAAGAGAAAAGACTTATTTTGCAAACTGTATGATGCCGATTTAAAACAAAGCAGCGTGATCGACTGTTCTACAAATATCCTACTAATCTAGTTCTGCAAAAAACCAGCCTTAAGCTTTGTTTACAGTGTTCTAATTAACTTTGGAATGCCAAATTTTAGACAAATTTTAAAGCTGTAAGGATAAAATGTTTGACGCTAAAATTCAAAATAAATAACAATGGTATACGAGCGAATTTGATGGCATCGTATTTCTAGTATTCTATTATAACAAAAAAATTGCATAAATTTTACCTAGTTTATTTGTGTCAAAATACAAAAACTCTGAGATAAAAGCTCTAAGGGAATAACAGATTAATGAGCTGATGTGTCAATGGGGAACTTCTTGACGAACTCATTAGATGTTGTAAAAATGAGATTTTCCGAGACACTTGTGACACTTTAGATATGAACATTGAGAAAGCAGTTCTTGTTACTTTATTAACTGACCGTGATTTAACTTAGTTTTCCAGAATAAAGAATTTAATTGCAGAAAAACGAACAATTTTTTGAATTGGCTTATACCCTGATAAATGACTGTTCATCACTCAAACAAAACTTTATCGCATCTGATTCTCAACCTTTTTTTTTAAGATTATGATTACCTATAGTTCTCCTCAACAGACAAAAACGTCTCCTTCTTTTCTCATCTTTATAGATGTAAAATAACTGCCTTCTATTTCTTTAACTACGTGACCAGTTTACGCAAACCACTCTTCAACAAAGAGCTTACTGGAAAAAAAGACAAGAAATCACAAAAGCCGAAAAACACTACTTTACTAACACTAACGGAGACCACAAAAATTGAAAATTAGTATTTAAATTCTAAGTAGCCTTTGCAAGCGGGAAATTTTCGAAACTTATAATGAAAAATCAAGTAAATGTTTCAAATTGTCTCTGAAAGACTTCTATTAAATGCCGTATCAGCTAAAGAGATTTCTATCTGAACTACTGCAGCAAGTATCATAACTTATCTTCTTCTATACTATTCATTGAAATGTGAACGTAATTTGCAATAGAACAGTTGTAATAGACTAGTTCAACTTCAATAAAAGATTTTTATGAAAGCTAAACTTACTAATTTTAGAAAACAGTTCGAAAACCGGTTTTCAATCTTAAAATCTATGACAGTCTGTTGTGTAGCACTCAGCGCTCTTCAAAATTTTTCTTAGAAATGGAAATATATAAGTTGTTTGCCTGGCTGTTCAACAACTGATGCTAACTATCGTGAATTTAAAAATCCTAGTTTTTTCGTTTTTCGAGTTAGTATTTCAAGTACATAAAAATGACTATTATTTGATAAACGAAAGCAGAAAAAAATTTTTTGCAGCAGAAGTAAGTTTTTTCAAAGACGACGATCACAGTTAGGAGAATTCACAACAAATAAATTAAAAAATTTCACCGTTTTTCTACCGAATGTAAAGCTACCAAACGCTTAGAAAATTCAAATTTAACTGCCATACAACAAACTTAGTTTCAATGTCGACATTTCTGAGAGGTAATCCTTGCCACTTATTCGCTGCAATCACAACAATTGCTGCAATTTTCTTTTAACAAAAGCAGTTTTCTTATCAATTTCGCTAGCGGGTAAAACACTTCAGATTTTTGTACGTTTTTGTTTTCTCGGCTTTTAACTTATTTTTTCTGACAACAAATTCTTTTTTTGTTTTTAGAACTTTCAGATAGTGTTGCGCATTTTTCCAATGTTATCTTTTATTGAAACTGCAAATTTTACGTTACAGATTGCTTATGCTTGATTCTGAAGTTTTTGAAGGTGAAAAACAAAAGTTATGCTTGATTCTGAAGTTTTTGAAGGTAAAAAATTTTTGATTTCTTTGATCAAACGAAAGGTTTTCACAAAATTCAGGTGTTTTTTTTTTTTTTTGAAACGTTGAAGGCATTTTGTATTTATTAACACTTTTGCTGATTATCTTTTTTATCTTTGTTTAGAAATTATTGTT